CATGCAGTTTATCTATATAAGCTCCCACATTTTTCACATTGGTATAATTTACTTTGCTATCATTCAACAAATCTTCTAGTGTTTCAATTCCCAATCATGGCTAACGCTCAGTTAAATTTTAAGTTCATTAGAAATAGACTTGGGGGTAACAACTTATCATATAATGGTTACTTGTACAGAATTAGATCATCTCGAGGAGAAAGGTAAATACTGATGTAAAAGTTGTTTTGTAAAAAGAAATATTTTGTTAATTCTATCCTTGAAACAAAAACTCATAAATTGTATCAATGGACTTTTTTGCTCTTATGTATGCAATAAGGAAGAAATAATTAGAGATAAAAAGTAAATTGATGAATAAATAAATAAATGAAAATAATAAATCATATTTTTTATACATCATACTCTTGAAGTCACAGTAAGTGTTGCTTTGAAACACTGATAGATTTTTTTTTCTACATATAAATCTCAAGTGTTGCAAACTATACATTTATGTGAACCAGACATTAATATCTTCTTTTTCTCTTTCAGAACTTACTGGAGATGCACCATTACCAACTGCCTTGCTACAATCAACATCCGCAACAACATCATAGTAGGAGTTGGACGGCAACCACACAATCACCCGGGAGACCATGCAAGCATCGTAGCCAAGGAGATCATGAACTGCATCACTGACCGCTGCCAGAAAGAAATCAGACCAATCCCTACCATCTACAGTGAGGAACTCTGCAAACTGCGTGACAACGAATGGGATGAAGAGACAAGAACCGTTGTAGAGAAGATACCCACCTTCAACTCCAAGAAGTCACAGCTGTACAGAGCCAGACGCAAGCTTACACCAAAGCTACCAACCACTACCCAGGACATTGATCTCGAGGGAAGATGGACGGAAACCAACACTGGAGAGCGCTTCCTACACATTGATGATGGTGACCAGAACAGAATCCTTGTCTTCGCCACATCAGAGGACTTGGCTGAGCTCGCCACCGCCGACCGCATCTACTGTGATGGTACTTTCTACACGTGTCCCAACATCTTTCATCAGATCTACACGATACACATTGAGATAGATGGATCCATGTACCCAGTTGTCTACTCTCTTCTACCCGGGAAAAGTCAGCACATCTACACAAGATTCTTCACACTACTCAAGACATTCATGGCAGACAACCACCTACCCATGTCGCCCGACACAGTATTCGTTGACTTTGAGACAGCTGTCCACAACGCAATCCGCACCGTCTTCCCAGGGACCGATATCAAGGGCTGCTTCTTCCACTACACCCAATGCGTCTGGAGAAAGGCACTGATGACTGGACTACAGCTTCCATACCGGGACAACGAAGACATCAGGAGACTGGTTCGCCGTGCAGTAGTCCTACCTCTGGTACCTGAGCAGCAAGTTGAGGATGTCTGGTTTCATGCACTACAGGACATTGAGTACGCCGACCTACCAGCTGACGTGACACCATTCACGGACTATGTTGTTGACCAATGGGTGGATGGAGACCGACCAGTTTGGAACCACTACGACAACGATGGACCACGTACCACCAACCACCTAGAAGCCTGGCACGGGAAGCTGAAGAAGATTGTGCAACACGCCCATCCAAACATCTTCGAGATCATCCAGACATTCAAAGACATTCAGGCTACCAACGAAATTGCAAGACTCCAACGACGCGCCGGTGGAACCAGACGACCCCGACCCAAGAGGTACAGAAACATTGACACCCGCCTTGCCCTGCTGAAACAGAGACTGGAGAGCAACACCATAGACATCATTGCGTACGCTGATGCAGCATCTGAGCTTCTTCACTTGGGTTGAAATGTCTTGCCTAGACTTGCTCTGAGCAAAACGAATGACTTTGTACGTTGTGTCATTGTTGCAGATATTTATGTCAGTGCTATATATTCATCATTGAATTAGTGTTATCACTTATCAGTCTTTAGTGTCTCGTATATGCCGTTAGTGCTGTAACATCAATCAGTTTCTAATAGTGTGACATATAAGTGCAGTGTATTTATTAGTATTCATAGTCATGTTGCATGTATTTGTCATTTCCTGGTGCTGTATATTTATAAGTTTTTGTAGTAGTGCTGCATATATTTATCATTTCCTAGTGCTGTATATATGTCTTTAGTTATGTGCTGATATGTTGTACATTGATCTTTCTTTAGATCAAAATATTGTACCTTATAAATTTGATTTGAATTTAAAGTTAATTGTAATATTATGATAGAATATATTCATACATGTTGAACTTGATATTTTAGTTGAAGTTACATGTTATTTAAAGGTAATTGTGCTATTATGATAGAATATATTCATAAATATTGGCATCTTTGTGTTCTTTCTTTATATTAAATGTATTTTAAATTTAATCAATTGTAATATTATCATAAGAAAAGTTAATAAATATTGAACTTCATATTGATATCTTAGTTTTCTTTCTGCAAGTTATCACAGGTTAATACAGGTAACACAGGTAGATCCACAGGTAAAATATCTCAGGTAAATATAATACATGTATGATATAGACTATAATTACCCTCCCTTTGATGTTTCTACCTATTGTTCTAGACATGTATGCGTTCAGGGAACACACCGTCTTCTGTACCGGTACCAGATCCAACATGCCCTACCCGAGTGCTGCTAGCAATGGGGGATTCTGGGATAATGGTGCATGACTTATTTTCAAATTTAGACACGGGAGCTGTATCAAATACGTCATCTATCCCTGAACCTACACCGACATCAGTTTGACTAGAACCATCAGATGTTGAAACACGTCTAAATTCGGTTCTTTACTCAAATTGCTCTTTAGCCTGTACGTTTGCTCATTCAGGAACTGCACTTCTTCTAGTGTTAACCAACTCGCCGACAAGATAAGTGCTGGTTTCGAGAACTTCATCAAACACTGTTCTCATGTCTATCTGAAAGTCCCCAATTAAACTAGAAATGAGTTCATTTTGTTTCTCAAACATGTTTCATAGTACATATGTGTGATTTTAGTATCAGTCTTTATTTAGAATTATTTCCCATTATTTTTAATAAAATTATATTTCATAGAAAAGAAACATGAAAAGAAATTTAATTTATTTATTATTCTTTTAGAATCCGTTTTACTCAAAAAAAAAATATACATGTACGAACTTTGTACAAGCAGCTTATACTGACGCTGTGAAATTCCAGCTTAAGTACTAAACAATAAGCCAAGTCCAGTCTCTAAAGAAATCATTATTTTCTTATATTTGAGATACTAGTTATACAAAAATAGGTATTTCCATGCTCATTGTTCGCATCAATTTTATCTTAATTCTACCTAGTAAACATGTCACCTTTGTACCTAACAAAGATAATTAAGCTATTGTGTACAGGTTTAAGAGGAAATACTGTCAGTATACAAAACACTTACGTCACAAACCAGAATACTGATCAGTTTGAACAGAGTTAAACGTGTCTAACCCACGCGGTCGCTGGGTGTGTCATTTGAGGCCCACGACAGGTTAATTACTATAATTCAACCAATCAAAAACTAGAAACCCCCCTGGCCCCTCACCTGACCAAGACAGCCTGTTCAACTATCCGCGCCCCCGGCCGAAATCTTCACTTGAAACCAGGACGCCAAATAAATAACATCATCTTTAACAGCTGTCTTTGCGCATTTTCAGAATCACCCAAAATCCAACATAATACACATCTAAAACCACCTCCGGACATTAACCGGCGATAACAATAGTGAGCCTTCTCGGGAAGACCTGTAAAACGCCATGACAAACGTTTCAAAAACTAAACCAATGCAAGTGGTATAAAATGTACATGTAACGCTAGCAGGGCCCCACGTTGGGCGCCAATGTTACAATTGCCGTCGTCAACATGTTAGTTTGGGACTCGGCCACAGGGTCATGTATCATTTTAGGGCGAATTCAGGAGGAAAACCACTCAAAGACTGAAAAGTCACTTAAGATGTGTATGAGGATCAGTAGAACATGTTTGAATACAGTGAAATAAGCAAAGGGGCAATGGGATAAGACATGAGCAATAATAAAACAGCGTGTCAGTAACACGTCTGCACAGCACAACGAACGAGCTCAGTCTGTCCGAACAAAGGCGGACGATTTACAAAGAAAAATCATGGCCACTTGACTTACACACTCTTACGCCCCTTACAAACTATTACAATGAAGAATATAAGACAACTCGACAACATTATCTCGTGGCCACTTGACTTACACACTCTTACGCCCCTTACAAACTATTGCAATAAAAAATACAAGACAACTCGACAACATTATATGACAGTTCGACCCACGAACGCTGACAATGGAACAGGTACCCGGACCGGTTGGCCAAGTTTGACGGCTAAATATAGATCGACTCACCTTGACAGCGGTACGCGCACATGTCCCAAGATAAACAATAACACAGGCACTCGATAAGATAACTCACGACGTACCCATACAGATATACATTTGCTTAAACAGTCCTAAAATAGACTACGTGACACTATTAATCTTATGGATAATGTTAAAAGCTGACAAAAACGTTTAGATGCAGAATGTCTTATTTCATGTAGTGTATACCATATAAGAAACTTTTATCCACAATAATTATCAAATTATGCAGAGAATTGCTTGAATTACGGCGGTTTCATTTTTTAAGAAATCTGTTTGACTATTGAATGGCCAGCGTATTTCTTTCCTTTTTCCAATTTTCCTTATTTCAAACGGTTATATCTTTTGTCAAGCTTTCTAAATTTTTCATCGTTTCTTGCTTATTATATTCAGTTTATTAAGTATATATCTGTTTACATCCACTCGTATCAAACATTTCACATATCATACATACCGAGGCGGTACAGGGCCATACCCGCGCTGTAATTAGTATCACGAGATAGTAGATGGCGCAATGTGTAGTACTTCCGACATTTGTGGCGGGCTGTTCGGTTACGACGGTTTGGTCTATCGTGTTGACGGATTGCTTTAGTGATTTGGATCTGATTTCGGGTTCATCAGTCGAAGCTTCAATAGCATTTATCAAGTTTCCTGGAGCTTTCTTGATATCATATGAAGTAATTTTTTCCTTAACTGTTGTCAACTGGATTTTCTTAAGTCTTGTCCAAGGACTGTGTCTGTGATTCCAGTGTTGCCAATTTGTCAGAGTTAAATAGTTGGTAATATGCTGATCATGATATGGCCAGCTAAAACAGTGTTGAAGTGTTGAAATGATCATGTGCGTTTACTAGTTATAAAAAGTTCTATCTGTCAGCAATTTATATTTTTGTTGGTCGCGGTCCATATAGTCAGAATTTCTCCCAAACGGGAATTTTGTGATTCTTACAGGGGTTGGCTTTCAAGCAATGATTTATATTGATTAACAGTCGCGCTATAGCAATGAATCACACATAAGTGGAAATATAAATCATTGTTCTACAATTGCATAATCGTGAAAGCAATTCCAATATTTCCTAATTTAGGCCTGGCCATAGCCAAGTTGGGACCATCCTTGGATTTATAAGTATACTTTGAAACTACAACACATCATCTCATTACAAAGAATACACTTCTCTGAACTGTAATATTTGTGTACATGCAAGAGTTTATAAAAGTAACCACATTAATGACCTACTAACTGACCAAGACAGAGATGCTTTAAGTCACATTTATAAATAAGAAATATCTGATATATGTTTTATCAGGGACGTAAAATATGGAGGGATAAAATCTGCCTATGTCTCCGTGTAACACTGGTGAAGAAATCTGAGTTAACTAGCCTTGTTGATTGTATCAGCACTTTTTGTCCAAAACTACATAATTGATCTTTTCAAAAATAAAATAATTAAACAGTAGCAGAAAACTTAATTTTCATAACTTTTCTGTGAATATTTATAACAAAATGCATGTTTAAGCTAGTTACAACTGAAATACCATCCTATATTGTATACCACTTTCTGTAGGAAATAGAGAAAAACATCTTTAAACAGATGGCATAAAAATGCTGAGTAGTTTCCAATTGGCTGTTGTAACTTTTGTGATAAGTCACTTTAATTTTTTGGTATTATTTTTGTGAAGAAAATGAGATTCATTTTTCACAGGCCAACATAATGGCCCTTGTCAGGCCATTATAGATATGCTTGAAAGTAAAGATGTTTAGATAAATAAGTAGCAGTACTTAGTTTGCAACATTTAATTGCCTTAACACATTTGGAAGTTAGTATAAAAATTATTTGATATTACCATCAACGAAGGATTTATAACTATCACTGTTGTAAAGTGTAACATTGCTTGAATGCCAATCCATGCACAGGTAGCAAAAATTTGGCTCTTTTATATTAGGAGGAATTTTGACTATCAATCGTGACCCAAGACAACATAAAATCACAGATAGATATTTAGAACCTTTCAAACGATTTATGTGCCCGTGTTCAGAGGATTTTTATCCTCTGTGTTGGACTTACACTGCATCCTTGTAAGTCCAAGGATGTTCCCAACCTTTCAGTTTCACTGACAAGTCCTGGATGGACCACATCATGCCATTGCAGTTTTAAAAAAAAACCATTATTTGGCACTACTGTATCTTATTATAAACTTCTATTAAATATTGATATTCAGTTGGGGTGACCTAAAATATGCCATGCAGTAATTCATGCCATAAGATTTTTTGGACATCGTCCAGATGTATTACATTTACAAAATAATTCTTTCAATTCATCAGAATATACAATTTACATCTTCTGACCAAGATTCATTGAAAAAAATTATGTCCTTTATAAGAAAATCAATCATATCTGTAAACCTTCTGAAAGCTGTCAACCCAAGGGTAGTAACCCATATTGTCAAAATACACCATAGCAGTGAAAAAGAAAAGACTGGTATATTATTGAAATTTATTCATTTATTTATTATTTTACAATTTGACAAAGAAAAATGTATATAGACAACCGTGAAAAAGGAATCAATTGGGGTCAAGTGCTTTCAGATGGTTTCACATATATGGTAGATTTTCTTACAAAGGATAGATTTGTTTTTCAGTGAGACTTGGTAAGAAAGTGTAAAAATTCATAATTGGATGAATATGATGAGCTATTTTATAATTAAATAATGTTTACATTTATCGATATATATAATAAAAAATCCCATGACATATTTTAGTATGACTATTCAGTTGCATGTTCTGTAAAGTCTTTGTCATGATGACTCAATTAGCACATGATTTGGGTTCCATTGTTGTTCTTTGAATACAATAATGACTTTAATATCTTACAATGTTTTATAGGATGGATGACATAGCTGAACTAGAGAGCAAACTGCACACAGCTGCAACAATAGGAAAATCATTGCTAGAAGAAAATTCTTCTCTGAAAGATGAACGAGAAAAACTGATTAAAGAGCATAGTATAAAAGCAGAGGTAAAACATTCTTTATAAATTTATCTTTACAGCTTACTTTTCTTTCTGTGTATGTCATGCAGTCTTCATATTTATGTTTAATAATTCATATATCTGACATACAGAACAAAGTCGAAGATCTCAATAGTTGAGACCTTTAACAGATAATTTTCTGGTGTTCCTTTTACTAACGTCCATTAAGCATTTTGACAACTCAAGTTAACATGTATTATTTTTTAAAAAATTTTGAAGAATAACTAGTACAAATATCATTTAAGGTAATTTTGGGACATACCTCATTATTCAATCTTCTCCTATTTAACAGGAATGGGAACAAGAGAAGTATTCTCTGATGATGAAAGTGGAAAGTAAAGCAGATACAGAGAAATGGTATAAAGGGGAGATTGCTCAAATGAAGCGTGATATGGCTAGAGACAATGAAGACCTGTCTACACAAATTGAAATGGAAAAACACAAACTGCAACAACAAGTTCGTCTGGTAAGTATATATTCAGAAGAAAAAGGCAGCTTTTGAAATATTTTTAGTTCATGAGAATATGTTATTGTACATATCTCTTAAGTGGTAGTAGTGGTACATTGATTCTCGGACTAAGCAATCAAATTGTTGATTAAGCCTGCATGTAAGTCTTGTATTGCTCTGTTATAGGTCAGCAAGCTTCAGTCAGAGTTGGATCAGTCCCATAGTGTAGAGAACCAACTGAGGGACCAGATTACCCAGTTAGAAGCCCTAATGGAGAGGAATATGAACCAGACAGCAGACATTACATCCCGCAGTTTTGATTCTGAGGAAATGGCTGACTTACAGATGCAAATTGTGAACCAGTTGGAGGAAAATGTAACTTGATAGATATAAAAAAAATATATAAACTTATGTCATTTCCATAAAAACAGCAATAGCAATGATTTTCAGTTACCTCAATTGGTTAGCATATACTTTTTTTTTTTATCTGTCTTTTGGCAACATAAACAGTTTCACATCTTGAGGGAAATGAATGTTTAGGATGGTGTAAATGGTTATAACTTTCAGGTTAAATGATCATTGATGTTATGGTAAAACTTGTGGGGAGGGAAGGTTACTAGTAACAGTAAAAACATTTGTATTGTGTTTTCATTTGGGTCTTATAACCATTATCCCTCCTTGTAAATCTCAAAATCTGCCATTCAAAAACATCTTTATTCGACCTTTTAGAAAAACCTGGAGAAAAAATATATTGAAAGATGTACAGAGTTACAGCAACAAAAAAGTGATGTGGAACTGCTGAGTCAGCGCCTCACAAAGAAGGATGAGGAGATAGAAGAAGTCCAGTGTCAAGCCTCCTCTTATGCCTTATCACTGGACGTATGTACAACATTATTTTACAAGTGGTCAAGTCTGAGATCGGTCATTTTATCCAATATATATAACTTACATGGAAACATTTTATGTACCTTGGATACATGATCAGCATTGTATTTTGAAATACAAATTATTTGTATCCAGAAATAGTTGTATTGCTTTAACAAAAAGTTTTTCTGTAAATTTCTCGCTAAACTTGTTGTATATTTTAATTTCCATACATATTATATGTATGCCACTTTTTTGACAAACAGCAGATTATACCAACAATCCGTTTCATCAGCTGACAGACATTATTGAGCTATTATACACACTGTATGAGAGCTTTATCATTGTCTATCTTGGAAAATAACTACGGAGGGGAGGACGGGGGAGAGATTGTCATCTCACTTATATTTGAGTACCCATTTTGGGACAATGTTGTTATCTTTTGCAGCGAGCTCGGAGTGAGATTAATGAACTAAGGGCGGAGATAGATGCGATGAGAGACTCTGATGCTAGTCATGGATTTAAGGGCAATTCTCTCTTCTCAGAAGTAAGACTAAGATATCATTTATACTCTCATTGGTGATTTAGACTGGATCTCAAATCAACACCATCCGAAATATCATCATCCGTATTTACTACTATCATATTGTCGTTACCAGAATAAAGTACATTGTTAGAAACATTGTTGAATGAGTGTGTGTCCTGTTGGTACATATTATATATGTCTCTACAATAAATACATTAGAACAATTAACTTGTTTGACTTGTATAAAAGTATTTAGTATACATAGATGTATCAAGGTAAAGGTCAACACAACAGGTCAATTTCATCTGACTTGTGTATACAAGCTAAGTTACTGTATACATCCTAGTTGTTTAATTTTGAAGGTCAAATATTTTTCAGTTTTTTTAGTGGAGATTACAGTTATTTGATATCATCGTAAAGTACTTGCTCCGCATTTGGTTTCAGGTCATAAATAAAGCAATATTAAATCTTTGGCAAATATAAAATATTGAGTCAGTTTATAGTAAAAGTAAACAGATCAAGCTTTTTCCAGTGACATGATATGTTTTTGAATATAACACAATGACTGCAGATTGTTCTGATAAATAAAGAATTTGAATTGATAAATCATGAAAATTTGATATCTCTGTAGGTTGAGGACCGCCGTGTTGATGCTGAGAAGAAACTGATCTCCCTAAAACATAAGTGTGAAGCTCAGGAATTAATCAACAAAAAACACACAACAGAAAATCGCAATCTCAGGGTAAAGTGTCAAAGAGGTTTCATGACTATATTACCCCTGAAAAGCAATGCTTAATAATTACTACTGTCAGCATTGATCATTGGGGACATGTTATACAAGACTTTCATAAAATATTCAAAGTATATTATGGTTCAGCGTAAGTTTGGTGTAGTGTTTTCTTCATAGAATTGCTTACTTGAGATTTTCTTTTCTTCTTTCTTTTAGATTTGAATATCAAAGGATTAAGTCCTTATTATTGTAAAGTCAGTTTCTGTATACATGACATCTTGAATTATTCTCAGACAGATTGGACATGGATTTCATACAAAGCATCCTTTAATAATGATTTGTTAGCCTTAAAACTAGTTTTTAGGCATGAAGAACAATGGTCAAGATTTTATTGTCAACAAAAATTAATTTACACTATGTCACACGAAATTGTAATCCAGTGATTTATTTACATTTTAAAATTTCAGAAATTTTTCCACAAAAGATCAAGCAAATAAAGTGACATTTTCTTTTTAATATAGCATGTTAACTTTCTCAGGTTTAATGCAAATCTTTTACTACTAGCATGTACTGATTTACTACCACATCAGGTTAGGGTTATGAAAGGTTCAGTATAAGAAAAAGAAAGGATGATAGACAATTGTGAGGAAGGAGAGATTTATAGGAGTCTATGGTCTTACTATGTATAAGATGGAAGTTTATTCTATTCAGTAATAGTTCTTATAAAGAAGGAAAATGTTGAAAACCGTGTCTTGTTTTGGCTTTGAGGGTGGTTTTCTCAATTGAATATTTCATTTGTTTTCATACATTATGCAGAGGTGTGCATCTCTACATCTGTCAACGGTTTGCACCAATCAAGATCTTACTATTTCACCAATACTACATTTGTTATGAAATGTGCTTGTGATATAACACAACTTGTCAATATCATATCTTAGATTGAGGAGGAGGATTCCAGACAGATCTTGTTCTTTCATTTTTCTTAAACCAATTTATAAGTTTCTTCTGAGTAAGCCTAAGTCTTATTCACTTTGTGGTGCTATGGATGCGGGACTAGCATTTCAGATTCTATTGTAAAAATCACCTAAATATTTAGTCTTGTCTTCATGTTGTTGATTACAATTAAAGAAAATCCTTGTAATGTGTTGATAAAAACTCCACTTCCATGAAAATCCAACTAATAATAGATACATCTGTACAAAATGAATTTTCTATCCAGAGTTTGAAAAAAGTTGTTAATTTAAGATACTGCATGATATATTTATTTTGATGTGTAAAAACTTTTGAAGTATTTGTAGTTGTTATAAAACCTTAGAATTTAGTGGTATAAAATCTTGTGCTGGTTTTAATTGGTAAGAAGGCACACTAACTTTCCATGTTTTACAGCTTCTTGTTATAACGACTCCATTTGGTGTTTAACTTTCCCAGAACCAGATGATGATCCTCCTCCACTCAAGTAGAGGGGAAGCAGACAGTGACCGCATCAGACAGCTGGAGTCTCAGCTCTCCCAGACTCGCTCGAAAGTCACACAACTCATGGAGGAAAAATATGCGCTAGAGAAGAAAACGGTATGGCTAGTTAGAAGACAACAATAAAAATATTGATAGTTATTAATAAAGGTTAGAACTTAAAGCCATAAGTGTGATTTAACCTTAAAATGCATGTATTATTTTCAAAATGCAAAAGCTTATAAATTATATAAAAAAACTACATGTATATAATCCTCCCAAGCATTAAGAGTCAAGAAGTTAGACTATAGAAGCTGATAATCAAGATCACTGCTATCATTGTTATCTATGATATATTGATCTGAATGTAAACTTAACTCCTTTAGCTTTCAATTCATTTATCTCGATGTTGTGAATGTGTTCATACTTATTACAAGTAAGAACACAAAAAAACTTTCAAATCATACCATATCTTTCAACAAAGACTTTTTACAGTGCAGTGGTGATCTCGGATTTCATTTACGATCAGTGATAAGCTACAACAGATTTTAGCTAGTTAAGTTTGATATTCATTTTGTAAGAAAGAGAAATTCAGTATTTTTAGCTGTCTGTGTGTATTATATTAACTGTTATTCAGTTACTTATACAATAAATTGTCTTCCTTTTAGTTTCACAGCGATTATTATAATCCCACCCTGCTCCTCGCAACAAAGTTGGAGGGAAGGGGCTGAGGCACCTATTCAGAAAGTTATGCTCCTTTGAGAACTCTTTTGTCGGCAGGGGATGAGTGGGGAGGGGATATGAGATGTGGACAACAGTGTTATTTTGCTTTGGGTTTTATATTTCTTATCTTTTGTCATATCAGCAACAGTTTACATTGTTGACAAGATCAGGAGCCCTGGCTTGGTTTCTTGTTTAAAACTATACAGCTATGGCACTGATTTTATGGATTGCTTTTGCTACATAAGCAGTTAATATATAAATGAATCATTTAGATGCTTTGCAATACCCTCTTTCAAGCATGCATATGTGGTAGTGTCAAACATATGGTGATTTATGGACAAGCAAACAATTTAATTTGGGACTTAATGGCATAAGATTCAATAAGTTAATCTTGTACAATCTCCCTGTGTGGTCAGATCATCTAATTTAGTCATGATGTACTCGGATTAGTTGTTGTATACACACTCTGGTCATTATCACAAACTTACTTTGGATTATTATACAAATACTTGTTCAATTATTGCAGAAAAATCAGACGGAAAACCTCTTTGACCAATTTGCGGGTAAGACATGTTTTCTTACTTTGTAACCAACCATCTTTTAATGGTCGATATTATTTTTTGGGTAGTGGTGGGAGGCATTTGTATATAATCTAATGTATGATTTCATTGTGATTTGAATATGTAAAGGGTTTGATATAAGTTTTCGAATAGATGATATGTAAAGTACTCCAGCATGTTTTAAGTTCTTAACATAGGGATTTACTTGTTAGGAGAATGTAATAAACACATGACATTGATAAGATACGCAATTGATACTACCTTAATTCGCATTAAGAAAACATTGGTATTGACATGCTTTTGTTCAGCATTTAGTGTATGTAGAAGAAGGGGGTAATAAGCCCTTTCAGGTTACTAAATTTGTATAATTCTACTTTGTAGCAATGGATACAAAGGAAAATACTGAGAAAGCTGGTGACAAGGCTTTCACTAATTATCTCATTGCCATGGTAAAAGCCAAGGAGTAAGTCGCCCATCAAGTCCAGATATATGATGTAGTCTATTGAAAATAAGGTTGGGTAGTTACATTGTGTTCATAATATGGTCACCTATAGTTGTGTAGATGTTAGATACCAGAAAAAGGTAGTATTCTCCAAGTGATATCTTTTCCCCTCAATGTTAGTAAGTTCCTCATAAATAAAATTTACTGAAAATGCGTGAGAAATTTCCTAAAATATGGATAAATTCCCCAAAAATGAGCTAATTATTATATTTTTCCTTATTAAATATATTAAATTTTGAGTAATTGACAATTATTTTTGCAGTCAAGAAAATGAAAACTTACAGAGTGAGTTGCGATGTGCAGACATACAGCTCTTAGACACAAAGAATGAGAAATCAAAGTTGGAAAGAAAATTACACAATGCTGAAAGTGACAGAGAAAAAATTCACAATAAATGTCTCCGTATGCAGCTGAAGTATGATGAACTTCAACAGAAGTATGATCCAGGTGAGCACAGCACTGTTATTTCCTGAATAAACAGTAACTTAATCATGATGGAAGTTTTACCTCAATCTCGCTCTTAACTTGTCTTTGATGAAAGTTTTAAAAGAGTTTTAATACAAAGAAAGGAATAAGTATGGTTGAACTTTGTCCATGGTCAAAGTTTTTGTCATATACACATATGGTCCTGATTATTCCATGGGCAAATGGACAAACTTTGGCTCCAATCTTGTGTTGAAGTTTCATATTGGTATTTCCTCTTATTCACTCTCTAGGGTTTTCCATAATTTTGTTAGTAGTAGGCTGTGTAGTGAAAGTAGGAGGCTGGCCTGCCGTGTACGTGTAGTCATGTACGGAACTGGATTGGTGTAGGCGGCCAAATGATCAAAGTAGCCGGTCAAATTGGCCGGCGACCGGCTTTTATGGAAAACCCTGCTCTCAATAATATATTGTAATGACTAATGTATTAATCATATGGTAATATTAGTACATAAGGAAAAAGTATATATATGAAATTTAAAAAAAAAATATTTATCTCGTCTAATGGTGGTGGGCAAAGAAGTGTATCCGATGATAATCCAAATGCCAAATTTAATTAAGACTTTAGAGGAATGATAGTCAAACTTCCTGAACTTAAAGTTGCTTGTACAAGATTGTGTAAAAACTTTCAGTTATCTAAGAATTCACATGTTAAATTAATGAGTTACTATGAAATCTAGTACATTTCTGACCTATGTAATATATATCGGTCCATTTTTAGTTTTGTGTACATATTGAATTGAAAGATTTATTGAATTTTTAGTTTTTCTGTCATAGCAGTTGATAAATCTGATTGATATGTGCCCTGTTTATTTGTAGTTATTTCTCACTGATAGTCCGTTGTTATACACTTCTTGAGGTTTCCTAACGACGATTAGATTCTAAACACTGCCTGACTATATTAGGGCAGTATATTGCAGCAAAATTTTATAGATACTGTTGGTAGAATTCCATGATATTTGTTCTGCCTGGAAATAATGTGATTTCATGATGAATAATCATATGGTGCTTAAATTTCAGAATCTGTGAAAAACAAAGGTGCTTGCAAGAAAAAGTATATCACAGAGAAACTACAAGTTGACGTTCTTCCTGAACAGACCATTAACATGAGTCGTAGAGAAGTCACTTCTCAACCAATGCCTGAAAAGTCCGTATGTGATACTGGGGTTCCCGAGACAGACGAAAATAAACCGCCTCCAAATGGTAGTCAGTCAGACATCATGTTAAACAATGTTCCAAAGAAAGGTGTGAGTTCCAAAGGGAGGTCTGTGTCTATAGCTGACAGTGTAACGGTGGTAGATTGTGAGGGGGAAAAGAGAAGTGGCAAGCTCTCTTCAAACTGTGATCGGGAAAATAAGGACAAGTTGATGAAGGAATCAGCTCCTTCAAAGCCAAAGGGACAGCGAATGACCAAAGTGATTAAGCCATGTGAGGAAACAGATAATACTGAAGCATGTAAAACACAGTGAAGATCTGTAACTAAAGTGACTGAAGAGAACAGACTGTTGACTTCCAGATGAATTGAAAATGTTTAACTGAAGAAATCTAACCATGGTTTAGATTGTTGGTGATAATTTTTGTTAGATTTTAAATATTGTGTAGAGATTTGTACACAGATATGTAATTTTAATGTCATGTTAAACGACAAAAAAAGTTCTTAAATATTTAAACAAATGTGAGATAAGATGAATCAAACCAGTATTAACTGACCAATTAGAATAGAACAGTTGCTATTGTGCTGTTCAGAACCAAGTTAGTAGAGATAGATGTTTTTTTTCAGTCTAAATGTTTATGGTAAAAAGTTATCAACAAATCTGACTGTACTTTCTTTGTTCTCATGACAAAGCATACACAAGTTATACATTCATCTTTATATTACTCTTAATTTGTCAAAGATTTTTTTCTTTTTCTTTTTTTTTTTTTTTTTTTCGGGGCTGGGGGAAAGATATGTATTAAAATTGTATCCATAATAATAATGTTTTGTATGAGTTTTGGTCTGTCCATCTACAGATTCTTTCCTGTATAGACAAAAATTTTGTTAGAATTGCACTTTTTTTAAACCTTAGGATGGGAATTATGTTTACCTCTCCTTGTGTTCGTTTGTCTGTGTTTGTAGCACCATGTTTTGTCACAGCTCTGGTAGCTTCATTTCTAGAGGTATTCTTGTCAAATTTCACACACTAATAAAGCATCAAAATATCTGTAACACGTTTGAGTTTCAGGATTGTAAGATCAAGGTTACTGTTACTTTTCTTAGAAAATCATTGTTAGTGTTCTGGTGGCTTCTATCCTCAGAATTCTTCCCAATTTCTCTGACTTAAAGTGACCATAGCACATTATGTCACACTGGTGATGAAATTGTATTGTCAGATTGTCATACTTATTTATTACCTTGTTACATTAAAATAGTTATCAATTAATTGTATACTATTCTTTTTTTTTCGTCCAAATTAACACTACACAGCACCATATTGCTTTACGCCGTCCGTAAACTTTTCCTTTAGTACACTATCCTGCTTAACACCTTGACATCACCAATATGATTGGTTGACTACTAGTATAAAATAGTTGGCAACCACGCAAACTCAACAGACTTTAAAATTACCCTAACCTAAACCAAATCTATGTAGGCCCCCGATTCTTCCCAACTTCTGGACATGTTTCAGAATACTAGCATTAGGATAAGGCATTATTAGACCCAAGATCTGTCTTTGAAAACTAGCATAAACTAACCTAAACCAAATCTATGTAGGCCCCCGATTTTTCCCAACTTCTGGACATATTTCAGAATACTAGCATTAGGATAAGGCATTATTAGACCCAAGATCTGTCTTTGAAAACTAGCATAATCAAACACTCATCACTACAGATGGTTCTACCCCTCCGCAATACCCTGCAAAAGGAGTCACAGCAATGAATAATTGGTCAACCAACAAATCAGTGGAAATTCAAGGAGAGCAGTTTTACCCCTCTCCCGAGACGGTTGTTCTCTTGTGACACTTTTACATCCAGTATAATTATGAAATCTGATGCAGAGGTAAGTATTTAAGTGCTAGGGTGTTATTAAAAAAGAATATCACTGCTAGTTTAATAACTTTACATTATTTCTAGTCTACAATATTCGCCAATATTCTCCAATAAGTCAACATACTCTGTATTACTATAAGCAGATATTTTGGAATATTTTCTTCAAGTTGGTAATGTCTATAGAATAGAAGTTCTTTTAACACAACCAGTAGAAGATTTTAGTGTGACGTTTCGATGACTACAAAGTCACCGTGATCAGACAAATGACCAGTGTAGAGTGTACTAGCACTGACGTATGTAGTGTACGAGATGGTATGGAATCTACCAACCTTTCCAGTTGCACAATAATCCTATGTACACTTAGGTTGAAATTGTGACAAGATGGTAAACAGATTATATACCAAAAACTACACCAGTTGGTAACAATGAACTGAAACATCATTGAGAGTAGGATATGTTCTTTAATTCAGAAAGTTTATTCGACCCCAAGCAACTTGGGGATGGGGCTCCAAATCGGAAAGCTAGTAAATACTTTAATTCAAAATACTGCTCTTCCTTATTACTTAAATGGAATATCAACCAAAGTTGGTCTGAAACATCATTGAGGGCAGGGAATCTTTTTTAAATTCAGAAAGTGGTTTCGACTCCAAGGAACTTAGGTTTGGGGCTTCAAATGCAAAAATTAACCAATTTTTAGCTCACTTGTTCTTCTTGTGAACTAAAAGGCCTAGGGGCATGATATTTGGCTGGTATATATATATATACCATATGAGTGCTGCAGGCAAATTGGGCCTCTTGTTTGCTTCAAAATGCTAATCCTTTTTAATGCCTGGGTAGATTTCAACCAAATTTGGCGAGACACATTATCAGGGAGTGGCAATGATATCAAATGTGCATGAAGTGATCCTGGGATTGTCCTGACCAAATCTGATTGTTTTCACTTTGGTCCAAATCCAACACAACTCATTTTGAACAAATAGTCTGATCTACTTCTAAAGTTTCATTCACACCCCTGAGAAAAATAAATGGAGTTTGATTTATTAAGGAAAAGAAAGAGATGATTTGTTATTTTTCAGTCTGATCAAAACTTCATGGTAATCACAGTGGCCATTTTGTAACATGATTGTGGAACTATTTTTCATGAACAGAATTTGCCCTTCATGAGCTTCGGATACTTTCAAGGAATGTTCATATCTAGATCTCATCACAATTGTCTGACCATCATCAATAAATTCTGTCAATCCGTTCGTTGATTTTCAGATGACCATCAAGTGCCAAGGCCTTTTGTTCAAAAGAAAAATGATTTTGTACAAGATGCTTTGTTTCACATTTCCTAATGGTTATCCTGTCACTTTTATATCACCATATTCGACCTGATAATCACACCCACACTTTTAAGCTTCCCCTAACAATTTTGTTTACATGAAAGAGCACAGGTACACTTACAAAATGAACAGCATGCAAAATATGGGTATATGTCTAAACAGGTAAAACATACAGCTTTCCATATACCCAACCCAGCAATAAACATGACAGAAATTATTTTACAATTTTTCTACAAATCCAAATTGTGTTTTCTGTACCAAAAGTTTATTGTCACAACACATTTCATGTGGAAATGTTTCTTCAAATTTCTCTTAGCGCTTTCCAAAAATTTTGACAGAATGTTCATCTATCAATCCATGTTTTATTTGTTTGGAGATCTTTCATTTTAATTTTGTAAACATGGTAGGCTAAATCACCATGACATGAAATTAATTATGTGAACGGCACTTTGATTATACTGTATTCCAAAATGTTAAAGCCTCTTGTTTTCATGTGTCTAATCATGACTTGAAGTCTTCTCTTCCAGTTTTCAACGAATTTCTTTCAGACTAAATAGGCTTAATCATCATGAGATGAAATATTTTTCCTGAATGGTATTTGAATATTTTATGAAGATCTCCAGATGCTTTAAAACAATTTTTCTGAAACTTGATTGGTTTTATAACCTTTATATAAAATTGTGTTTTCTTCAATGGTATTGATATAAAATGTTTGGAACAGTATCGCCCTGTTTTTTTTTTCAGTGTTCTTTAAACTTTGGTATGTCTTATTATTTGAAAAAAATACATGTAGCGCTGTTTTCTGTTTCAAAAAATTTGACTCAATATTTCAATTTCTATACTTGCATTTATTTTCATACATTAAATCATGAATATTTCTTTGGCATGCGACAGTCATATATTGTTTTGCCCTGTGGTGCTCTTTTTACAATTGCAAAGGCCTCAAGTTATGGCAGTTAAATATGTTTCACAGTTATACAGGTCTGTGGTTCTAAATGATGTCTGTGTCCAGTTCTTCACAATGATGCTAAAACAGCAGAACTTGGATCAATAAATTCTTTTCATATATCTTTTTCTGAAACACCAAGGCCAGCAAAACAAGACAATAAAAACAATAAAATCCCTATTATTGATACATGTACAGTTTTACAAGTTCTTTACCACAATATTAATATATATTGCAAAGTGTTCCCATTCTGTATAGTGGTACATATTCATCTCCAATTCATCAAGTGTGTCCAGTCTTCCATAAGATAATTCTTCACTTGAGGCAATGACTATTTGTTTACATTCTGTTACGTGTATCTATAAAACCATCAATTCCTTGTTGCAAAAAGTTATACATCAAACTTTTGATATTTCATATTTTCTTCAAAAATATGAAATAAACTTATCTATAGCCATTGTTATATACAGCAAAACTCAATATAAAATTTCAATGCCTTTTAAAATATAAAAAGCTGCAGTTTGTATGAAGAGTCAGATGTTAGTATCCACCAACTACATGAAATTCTTTGACTCTGTAGACAGATTGGGTCAGTTAAGCTCATGACAGCAAATCAGAATATAGATCCTAACTGGCACACTATCCTGTCACAATCAGTACACTGTACACAACAGTAGCAATGTTACAAACAGAATTGCAGATCATATTGAATGACTAGAACTGACACAGTCAGACGGTTTCCTCTTCAAGAGGCAATACTGTACTGTGTGACTAGAGAATCTACCACTATACTACTATCTGTAAATCAGTTTTCACTGTTTTGCCAATTATTGTAAAGGTCATCCACTTGAAAATGTCACTGGCTCCATCACCTCCAACTGTCTTGAAGCACCAGTGAGTATATAAGCAAACTGTAACGACAAGAGAAAAATCCCTATAATGAGGAGACACTGATTGCGGAGACCAATTCCATGACAGAACTCCTGAAAAATAGTCAAGTTGGATTCAGTCTTTTCTTTTTGATCAGTTTGCTTCTCCAGTTGTGAAAATACATCAATGACATAGGAAGCCACTCCACGTCTTAAAGCCATCTCTTTTGGTGTCAGTCCCAGCTTATTTCTGTTAAAAGAGGAAAAAATGATAATCAAGCAAAGATCAATATAACAAGACTTATTACATGATAGAGTAGTAAAGGGAGGTGCAGAAGCAGACTTCACTGTTATACATTATAAAGTAAAACATCAAAGTAACATACTGAAGTACTAACAATCACAAGTCTGATATATCTCGGACAGAAATGGGAGATGAGGCAATGAAATTCATTGAGGTACAAGGTGTTAATTAAGGAGTTCAGTTTTTAAAAAAAATGAAGCAAAATGTTCCCCTTTACAGTCATGACCTGTCCCAAAGGGTCAAATCAACTTCATTTATATAAAAATGGTTGCCCACCACTAATGAAGTCCCAAGTTGAATCTTGTCCACAGGGGTCTAGTCATTTTCTTTATTTAAGAAATAATAACCTTCTCCCCAATAATGTTTGAAATCCATTACAGCTTCAAAAGCAAAACTTTAGCAAACTTTCCTTTAGGGCCCAACCCCTCTATCTACAGATGTTGAATCATATTCATTTAATTACCAAAATTTCTCTTACTGGCCTCACCCTTTGGGTTTTCAATATCTTCAGTTATATAGATTATAACTGCCCTCCAAATATGAATTTAAAAGCTTAATTCCCAAATTTCCTTATAAACAGACCTCAACCCCTGGCCATTTTAATGTTCCTGTTATCAGTGAAGATACTGAAGATTTTTCAGTGAGATGTTGTTTGAAAATAATTTTGGACATGCGTCAAAATAGGATATCCTGTAATAGTCGATCATAACGATACAAACCGTTGTTTGATGTCAGCACCGCTGGCGACTAGCATTTCAAGAACCTCGGTATTTCCACACCAGTGTAAAGCAGAATTGTAATTGTTGTCAATAACATGTACATCAGCCCCATGTTCAATCAGCAGCTTCACTAGTGAGGCCTGCCCCCGACACACTGGAATAAAGAGAACGGTCCGACCACTTCCGTCTGGCTCGTTCACATCGTATTGACCAGACTCTAACAAAACCTCTATATTTTCCATTTTGGAGCTGTTAACTGCTTCTCTTAAATCTCCTCCAGCTTCCATGATTTCAAATATGAAATCATCAAACATACTAACAGACATTTAGACACATAACTGTGCACTGTTCTTACGCAGCTTGATGATCCGTCAACTTTGTTTTTGTTTCGATTATCTCCCCTAGTAAAGCATTAAATAATAACAACAGGTTCGACGCCCAGGGCGGACACATATCATTTCTTTTGTATCTATATTGTTACATTTTAAATATATTTCTTTATGTAAATAGTTTTTGTATTTCGCTGTTATTCTTTATATTAATTCTTTATTTTCATTGTTCTGTTTCATCATACATTTTAAGATACCATATAAGTGGGTCAAACTCATTTTTATTGCATATTAATCGTGTTACAACTATTTCCATATTACTTCATCATTCTTGCAAAATCACGTAAAGACAGGAGCGATTAGGAAGGATTAATATTACCACTGTTATTGTTAGAAATAACTTTGCTGTAAAAACTTACTTATAAACTAGTTAGGCTTCTTACAAACAAGGTACTTTCCGGATATTTTTGGATTTATTAAATGACAGGTAAACAAACAGGTCAGACAGAAAGGTAAAAGGATGTATGTTGAAGAAAGATTCAGGGAATAATAATGATGCAAGCCAATTGGAAATAACGTTTAAAATGTTTCACTTATGGACCGTTATAAGATTTTAAAAATAATCTTTTCAATGTCCATCAAATATTTTTTTTAAATATATTTTTGTTTAAATTTGCATTTCATTACATGACATTTTATCTACTTTCTTTAGGAATATGCGGATTTTGTTGACCTGTCGCTGTTTTTGTTTAATTGATATTGGAGTATCAATTCCTTAGTGAAGAGACGAGTAAAAAAAAGATGCTTTATTAGAGGTATGTAATCACTTTGATATGTACAACATTGTTAAGGCGTCCGACTTGTTTTATGAAAGAAATACTGCAACCCTCCACTTTCTAGTTAATGTAATTTTAACAGCAGAAAAATATTCATTCGGCACAATGTCTTTTGACTGTGGTATTGATGACTGGCACAATATGATCACAACTGACATATCAAGCATGTGCATACAGGTAAGAGAAATTTTAGAAGTTTTACAAATTTGAATGATAAAGCTTTTAATAATTTCTTAGTAAATATTCCCTTTCGTCACTCCAGAATTTTGTTATTCGTACTAATATGTTTTCCTAAATTCGGCAAATATTTAGTTTTCTGTTAGCAAGAGTTGGATAAATTTTGCCACACTAGGCTTCAAATGATAATACCTTTTGATAAAACATTTTCTTATTTCTGTATGATGTTCACAAGGATATTCATCCTCAATATCATCAATATCGCCACTAGTACAATATGCGCAAACTCTATTTATTCTATAAATATCATTAAAATTACCAGGTTCAATACACAATTTATGATAACTCAGTCAAACCCATATATTCTTCCTGAAAAACATCACTCATTCTACATTTAATCAAATTTAGTAAGAAGACTTTCATTGCTATTATTACCATTTCCCCACAAATACCCTATATCTTTCTTAAAAATATCATTCTTTATACCATCAGTCCATAAAAGCTTAAAGGTTCAATTTTTACTTGGATGGTCAGATGGTGAAGTGGTAACACACTCGCATTTCACTGTGACCTCGGCGCCCGGGGTTCGATTCCCGATACAGACGTGAAAAGGTATTGACAAAGTAGCTGTAAATTTGAGACAATTAATTAAGTGATAATTAGCAATGTTAAATAATGAAGTATATTTGAAAGGAGGGTATGTATATGTGTTCATGTATTAGTCAGCGTTTATTCAGGAATAGAGTAGTAGGGATAGAGTTTGGCAGATAGAAGGCTAATTCCGATTTAGTTAATATTTGGTGAAACGGTGAGAAAGACAATCAATCTCTCTTATATAGAAGCCTTATGTCAGGTAAATAAGTCTACAGTTCATATTGTTCATTATATTATTGATTCCACGACTTCAACTGGAGTTTAATAACATTTACGACACATGTTCTTCTCTTTTGCCACGATGACCATGTTTTAGTGGATAAAATACAGTCAGCTTAGGTTAATCATGTACAGGTTTTCCGTCTCCGCGACTCCTCCCGTTGCCGGGTATAGTCTCATTGTTCTGGCGACGGGACAGACTCAGGACTGGTGAGTAACTCTCGTGGATTGTTCGGGGTCCTTCAGTATCCTTCCACAGTAAGACTTATAGCGCACTTCCATCTGGTTAACAAGAATGATTGATATAAGTTGAAATAACTTGTTTCACAATGGTTGTCAAATAACAGAAAATAAATGAAGTTTAATTTTTTAAGATATGTGTTATACAGTATTAGTCAATATCGGGGGAGACATATATTTATATTTAATATTTTTGAATAGTCTTTTAAATAAATGGAAATATCTTATTAATCAAGAAGGTTCTAAAATACGATTTAATTATGTTTCTTTCTGTTCATCAGTGTTAACTTGGGTCGCTCAAGCCATTACGTTTCAACACCATGATATTAGCAAAACATATTTTTGATATTGAAGTTTGGTCATCGTAATTGAATATCAGGAGTGTCAAGATACCAAGAGAAACAATTCAAGAAGGAAAACGGGATGGGGGCGTAATGCATTGGCACATTAAGTCGTGCTTAGTCAGTTCAATTATGGAGGAGCACTACGAGAAAAAAGTCCCCAAATCAAGCTTTAACCTTACACCTACAGCCGTACTCTCCAGACCTGAAGTAAATAAGCAGTCGCCAGTGGTTGGTGATCGTGTACCATGGTAATCGATGTGTGATGGTTTGAATACCACAGATTACAGGAAACGGTACCACATGTGGCGGGACACAATACCACAAGGGGCGGGATACACAAATCGCTTTGGGCTCTGTTCACACTAAACTATATAAAGGAACAGGGCACCTCTGTAAACTGCGGACTTGCTTCAGTCTGACGTCCCCATTCGTCTAGTCCATCACTGGTAAGTATTTGCAGCATGCTAGTTCTTGTCTTTTCATTGACATGGAATCTTATCGCTTCAGTTATTCTTTCTCTCTAGATATCAATACCCATGTTACGTCTTCAGCACTTTACTGAATAGTGGACTCATGAATTAATTGATGATGATGATGATAATGATGATGATGATGATGATGATGATGATGATGATGATGATTACACATAAAACGAAAATGTCCCCACCTCGTCAACGAAAATTAATGATTTTATGGCATAGCCATAAGATTTTTTTTAAAAAGTCAATTAAGAAAGCTGTAACAATTCAAGACATTTTTAAAAAAGTGAAATGCATTTTACTTCCTTAATCCTGAATTTTATTAAGGTCGATTGGAATTTTCTTAACTTTCCGTCTGGATTTTCTACAAACATGACCGAAAAGCCATAGAAGGAATGCCGTATGAAAAATTTATAAAGTTGTTTATCATGGTTTAAAGTTTACTGTGTGTAATACTAAGGATTGTTTGTTGTAAGATGACGGATTTTTAAAAACCAATATATTTTTGTAGCTAAGCATCCAACTAAATAACGTTAAAATGGTTAGGAACATACAAGTTTACTTAAGAAAAGTCGCTTTTGAAATCATCAGTCATATGAATATTTTTAGGACGATTCAATTTTCCAAACTTTTCTTTTTAAAATTTTTAAACTAAAACCGTAACCGTTACACCCCTGTCACATAACACCCATAGTAGCAAGGACACAAAACATGAAGCAAATTAACCTGTAATTCGACCTATGATTGTAGTATAGGTAACATATGCTTACGTCTATTGAAATGAATGCTTATAAAGTTACTTACATTGATATCCATAATATTAAAGTTTAAAACAACGAAGAAATTTCGCCATGTCGACAGAATCTTTAGCAAGACCTTTTATAGTACTTATCAATCATATTTGTTGGCTAATTGTGGGTTTTAAAAATTTCAAAATAATACGCTAGTTTTTACCGCCAAAAATTGAGCGAACTTATCTTTTTTATATATATTCTATTTCCTGAAGTAAGTTCCGACATCAAAGCTTATGCACCATTTTGTCAATTCAGTTCGACAAACTGTTTAAGATTTTTTTTTATCTACAATTTGTTATAGAGGTGAACCTTTGAAACTAAGACATTGTAAATAGTGACCTTTGATCACAGGACACAAATATTTTTGGTTGATATCAGGTCACCATGGAGACAAACTCTACCCATAACATAGATAAAATAAACCATAATTATAGACAGATATCCGAAATCGACACATGGAGATATATGCTATTGTTTAAAAGCTCTGAATATTGAACCCTTTATTTGACTAACGTACCTAACGAAACAGCACATTCGTTATAAAACAGAGAATCTCAACCTTGATTATTCTGTATTGTTCTTATTGTAATTATCATCATTGTACGGACCGTCAGCCACTCATACAACAAATACTGGAATCAGGTTAACGGCAGATATTTCTCTCCAAATAAATAGTTATTGCTGATAGTACTAGTAAGTATAACATCGACAAGCAGTTAAACTGCATCCTTTATCATTGATAATTATACAGATTAAAAATGGCAACAGGTCCCACTGGCGCTACAGGTCCCACAGGCGCTACAGGTCCCACAGGTGCCACAGGCCCTACAGGTCCTACTGGTTCCACTGGTCCTACAGGTCCTACTGGTCCTACCGGTCTTACCGGAGTAACTGGACCGACTGGGCCTACTGGTCCCACAGGTCCAACTGGAGCCACCGGGCCAACTGGAGCCACCGGTCCTACAGGGGAGACGGGGCCTTCCGGACCAACAGGACCAACAGGGCCTACTGGTATTGCAGGTGTCACCGGAGCTACAGGATTACAGGGACCGCCTGGGGAAGACGCGGACTTATTTGATGGCGATTTCATTTCCTTGATTGGACTTCTCATCGGCGGGCTGCTGCTTTACTCTTTGCTTCAGGGTGGTGGCGGCTTCATAGGTGGAACAAATTTTATACCGCACCACCAGCCACCCATTCATAGTAAGTATAGCTAATGAAATCAATGATACAACAGCAATCCATAAAAAAATGTTTTACACCGCATACCACTGTTCTTGAAAAATCAAGGGGAATATTACCAGGTAATATTGAAGAGTAAGCGTCCTCTGCTTCATCGTCGCCACCTGTCATGTAACTCTTTGTCGATCCAAGTAGGTGATGTCACGTTTATCCACTGAGATTTTTTTTTCGAATATTGTAAACTATTACAAAATGGGGTATGCAATCTCATTTTAAGACATTGTAAGTAATTTGAATTATTATATGATAGATGTTACAAGTTTGTCTGCTATCGCAAATACTCTTACTACCCTCACTGTCTATATGTTACAGGCGGTATTCAGGAAGTAGGAGTTGTCCCATACAAAGGATACTACCCACAGTATTACGGCGTCAGCTACAGACATGAAATTCCCAGTATTGCCCACAACAATGGCCTGACCACCACACAAGTTGGTTGATTTGTTTGATCAGCGGTTATTAACAATGACCAGGCCAGTTGCTCCGGTACGAACACAGCGTCGACAAAATACTAATAAAATGCCGTTGAATCATATCTTTGACATTATGTACTTGTTAAAGAATTATGTGTACAATTATGTGCTACAGAATTTTTATGTACTTATGTGCTACATAATTTTATGTACACTTATGTGCTACAGAACTTTATGTACACCAATGTGCTACAGAATTTAGGGACACATATGTGCTACAGAATTTTGCTATGACAGGTACTTTGTTTTTAGGTTATCAATAAAACCCCAGTTTGATCAATATCGTATTCCATATGTCCACACGTTTGTTTATGTCGAAATACAGACGCCTTTTGTTTCATCTTGGTTGCTACAAAACAAAATGATTGCTAGGTTGAAAACATAATTTCAAATAAAATGGTCCATAATTATCAATCTATCTAATTTCACTAAAATAAGTTGTAGCGATCACCTTCACCAGAATTTTGTGGACCGTCGATTTACGCCGATTGTAAAAAGGCAAGTAAAACAAATGCAGTATGATTTATCGAATTGATTGTCGAAATACTAAACATAAGACAGTCACGTGAATAACTTTCAATACAAATTCAAAATCAGAGACGCCACAAGTAAAACGTCTCTTTTTAGGTACATCGTTTACTTACTACCACGTGGTAAGTAGTACTCACGATGTAATGGACACTCGGTCGCTAAGCTGTATTACTAAAATGGTCGTAATTTTCTTATTTTGAACGTTCTATTCATAAATATCAATGCGATAGTTTATTTATACTATATCTTACGTTAGGGATCATGATTGTTGTGATAGGTTCGACAGCAGTAAAAACCGGTTCGTGATGAAAGTTGACAGTAAGTATATAAACATTGTTTATCGATATATTCTTTCTTCGTTTTACCACAGTCTTTACTCTTAACTCAACATATACAATTTCCCAAATGGATTTGAGAAGTGTAATGATTTCTATTCCCTTGTGGATTTTTTTGTTCATTTCTAGATAAGATCAATCCTGTGTATCTAACTTAGGGAGGAGCATACAATAATTAATTCAATGATTTATGGCTTGTTCCCAATATCATGCAACACATGGTTCCCAGAGATGTAGTTTGACGAAGACCACAGGATATTCACCACCATGACCTCCTCAAGAATATCACATTTAAATATAGCAATATTTCCTCTACATTAATCCATTAATCTGTACACAAACATGATAACAATAGTTTCAGTTGACAATGGTCAAATAAATAACTTTTCATTTTTCATGTTGGTAAAAAATTCTACAAAAGGCAGAGAAAAGAACTGCTCCTTTCAAAATTAAGACTACGATAAATTACAACTAAATTATGTATGTAAACTGCATAATACAGCTGTTTTCTCCCTATTGGATTCGCCAATGATGCTAAGAGCCTGCAGAAACCAAAATTGATCGGAAGAAATGTCAAAATCTATAAGGGTAGATTAGCCCTGTAATTCAGTAGATTAATAAAGAGTTTTCATAATCAGGGTTAGACAAAATCGTAGTCTTAACAACGAAATGCATAATGAAACGATTGAAAGCAATTTATAAATTATTGACTTGCGAGGAATGATTCTATAAAGTTGACAAAGGTTTTAGATATTTCATTGATAATTGATTGTGCTGGTATTGTTTAAAACATGACGATATTGGAAAACAAGACAAAACAGCTAACTAATCACAAAACATGATGTTTGAAGTCAAGACAAGACAGAAACAAATGGGAAGCAAGACAAACAAACTAACTAATCACTTTACAACGGTTTGAAAGTCTTGTTACTTGTGTAATCGTTTGCGATAAGGCTTTCAGACAAGTATTGTGACCTTATGTGCCGGAGATAAGGACACTTATTCTACAAGTCTGAAAACTCGACGTGGTCCACTCCGAGGAATAGGTCGAGAGTTTGATGGTCGTTAGGTTCGCCCATTAGATATGGAGAGAATCACATTATCATTATTCGTGTTAGGATGTTTTACCGTTATTAGTCCTACTTATGGAGACGTAGAGGAAACGGTCGAAGCACTATTCAAAAGAATAAAGCTGATGCAGGTACAACGGACGGTGCCCTCAATACCGCCATTTTTCTGGGGGAAATTTCGCGGAATTTATGAAAGCGATGTTCGGCAGTATTTTCATGGAAATCCTGACATGAGCGCCCTCCGTTATGAGTTTAAAGTATTTGATAATAACATGTTTGCAACTGCCTGGATAACATCGTGCCTCATGGAAGCTTATCGATATGGAAAAGCACCGAAGCCTTCCGAGGAGCAAATCAGTATGTCGATCGATATTTTAATGGACAATCACAACGACAAAAACACAAACTATACTAACTCAATCATGGCATTTTGGCCTCAGGAGTATGAGGAAAAATACAAGGTAAGTCACTGTGGCTACATTCGTAAGATCTAATGTACCAATGGTTTACATACCAAATACGTCTGATTGAGATATGATATTAAGTGCAAATTACATTCAGTATGATACTTTTTAATCATGTCATCTATTTTGTATAATATACTTTCATTAACCTACGTTAAATGCGAGCAACGTTATGCTCCGGACACAACATTTTATCAAAGGGCGATAACTCTGTAATTAAAGGATTGCAGGCCCTGACTTTCGTACACACATCTTGTCTTAATATGACCAATGTGTGCACAAGGTTTCCCGACCCTAGTTTAAATGCATGTAAAGATAAGCTTCGGACAAGAAATTTTAAGAAAGGATATTTAAAAAAGGGGTTGTGGGCCTTGATTTTAGTACACGGCGTATCATGTCGGCGTAACTAATGAATGCACCAAGTTACACGATTCTTACATAACTGTTGGCAAAGTTATGCTCCGGACACGAAAAGGACAATAGACGGGAAAGGTGGCGACTATGTGCAACCCCAAAAATTAGCCGAGCATAATAGATAACAAATTCTTATATTTCCATTCGATAACGATAAAAAAATGAATTGTTTTATTATCTCCGTAGAACAGCGGGGAATTTATTTGAATTGTTATATTGTTAATACAACTACAACAAAATATTTACAAAAGCACAAAATCAAATCCATATCTTTATTACTATTTGCAAATGCATATAAAATGTTACATTACATCTAATTTTCTTACATTTAAACCTAAGCAAACATCGCGCATTTACACCCGATGTAAGTAATGATAAGGTAGTATATACTTACACAAGCCTGACGTAAATATTAACAAACCACACACTGGGGTTGATAAGCTTCCAATCAAGATTATACAATGCAGGTATATGATTTCTTAGATTACAGAGAAATATCATCGTACAGTCAAGGTATCATGAGGAGTTAAACGATAGACACATGAAATAAAACTTTGGATCAACACTTCTTATAACTTTTTTAGTGTTTTTGTTTCTCATGAAAAGTGAGGTCAGCAATCACATCGACTTAAAGTGGGTTTTTTTTCTTGAGTGCTTGGTCAGCACTCCCATCAGCTTTTGGTGTTTTTGTTTATCATCAAGGGCTTGGTCCGTGCTCCCAACCATTTATATTGCTTTTGGTTTTCATTAAGGGCTTGGTCACCACTCCCACCAACATTGAGTGTTTTTGTTTTTCATTTAGGGCTGGGTCAGCACTCCCAACTATTTGTAGTGTTTTTGTTCATCCTTTATGGTTCGGTCAGCACATCCAACAATTTGTAGTACTTTTTGTTTTTCATTTAGGGCTGGGTCAGCACTCCAATCAACTTGCTCTCAATGTTTAACGCCACTGATCTTGTCAACTGGAATGCAGTATATGAGGAAATGGAGAAAATTGGACTAAAGGACGTAGTGGACATCATGAAGAGACTTCTCGCCACTAAGTATACTTATACTTACATACTATTACCTTTAGTTACAACATCTTTTTACTAGAGTAGATCCAAACACTGATGTATTAAACTTCGATAAGTGAAAATGACGTGATCCAAATTATTTACACACACTGAGGCATTGAATTTGGATTAGAGAAAATGACGTGATAATGACGTCATAACATCATAAATTGTTACATTTTCAAAGTTTAACAAGGTAAAATTATCTGAGACGTCCGAAGAAATTGACCAAGTTTTTTGTAATGTTTGTTTTACCATAACAGCGGAAAAACAAAAATGTGTTGATTATAGTATAATTGATTCCTGTGTCAGGATAAGGTGACCATACTCCTGGAGGGACGGGGATAGGATGATAATTATTGATTTTATGTGCTATGCATAAACTAGAAACCAATAAAAACAATCATTTACTTTGGAGTTGATTTATAAATAGTCTTGGAAAAGTAGGAAATTCTTTGACTAGTTAGTAAATAAAATGTAATAAATGTTTCTGATAACCGAATTATTTCGATAATTTTTCCATCATTTATTAATAAACATGATATCTAAATGGACGACGCTCTCACTCCATATCTCTTTAGCAACAAGTTCATAATTGAAACAATGTGATTTTCCAGCAGTCACATTTACGCTAGGTGTTTTACTAATTTATGTAATGACTTTCATTAAACTTAAATCAGAGCAGTTATATATCACCAAACTTTAACCGGTTGGTCCAGCATCCCGTTGATGAATAACTTTCTGTATGTTTCACGTTTAGTCGCAATAATAAATAGAAAACACTGCTGCCTACTGGTTATTTGATTGACATTATCGAAACTAAATTCGGCGAAAATATTGTCATTTAGTATTATTTGAGGAAATTAAAGGAAGATGTGTCTTTATTTACTTGCAAGGCTACGTTTCATTTCAAGATAGAACTCAAATATAATATCGTATTGGTGAATCATGATAGACGATATATTACACAAAAAATCCTTTTCAGATCTGGTTACGAATACGTATTCCGGATACCTCCAGATTTTGATGATACGTCTGTGAACCTTGGCCTGGGGTCATTGTTGAAGGAAGCTATTGTAGATTTCCCACAATCCAATG